TTAGGTGTTGTGGACATGTGGGGGTTCAGTGGTGGCCTTAGAGAGGACAGAGCAGCGCTGTTAGCAGCAAATGGTTTCGCAGCCTTAGCTATTGCGTACTGTGAATATAAAGACCTTCCTGAACAGTATGGCTTATTTCAGTTGTCCTATTTTGAGAGCGCAATTGACTGGCTTATTTCACAACCGAAGGTGAAGTCTGGTGGAGTTGGCCTGGTTGGTCTGTCTAATGGAGGCACGTTAGCGCTAGCACTTGCTGCTCAGCTAGGACACAAAGTCAAAGCAGTGGTCTCTGTTTCAGGATACCCCATGTTTATTGGATGCTCGTTGGCCACACAAACCATGACTATACCTGGCTATCCTGCCAATCAGAATTCTTCGGGCGACTCTTGTTATTTACATTTCATGTCTATATTTAAAAGCGAAGAGCTTTACACATCAGGGTCACCATGGGCGATTCCGGTGGAGCAAATATCCTGCCCTGTTCTACTTGTTTATGGCCTCGATGATCTACTTATTCCCAATGTAGAATGGATGTGTGAGGTCATTTTTCGACGCATGCAACAAAATAGAAAGAAAACATTCTGTACGAAGCTTGGTCTCTATGGGGCGGGCCACTTGATTACACCATGTTATAACCCACCTTGTTCCAGAAAATATATTAAATTACTCGATGAAATGTGGTTTGTTGGAGGGGATAATAAGACTCTATTCGCAAAATGTTGTGAACAATATTGGAAAAGAAGTCTAGAGTTTCTATTCAAGTACATTTAACGCTGATTGCTCAACAAGTGGGAAGGGCTGGGAAGGAGTGGGGAGGAGAAGATTAGAGATTGAAGTGACTCACAAAGAACATTTTGAAGTGAGGATGGATTTTCACGATGAGAAGAAGCAAATGGGAACAGTTCTATTGCGTTTTTGATGCAACACTGAGACTAATATTGAACTTCAAGACACCTGCACTGTCGCACTTTACTAAATATCTTGTTAGATTAAAGCTGTGCTTTGTAAGAGAAATAATGAGTAAAGTGGTGCATTGTTTAGTAAGTGCATCCCCTTGTAAGTCAAACTACGCGTGCTTGACTGTTTGAATGCGCATCAAGTTTGTATACGGCGAGGGTAAAAGGCGGAATGAGTTTGCGGAATGACATAATTATGCGTAATTTAAAATATGGAAAATGGCATGAAGAAATAAATCAAACAGGAAAGCATTCGCGCGTCTCTGCCACGCGGTTTTTATTTTTGGCGCCAAATTGAAGGAGCAACCGCTTTGCCAGTCCGTTTATTACTGCTACTAAAACAAAGCTAAAACCAATACCAATACTTGATAATTCATTGGTAATTCGTTTCCAAAATAAACTGAAACGGTTCTTTACTCACGTCTCTCCTTCGGTGAAGCACAGTGAAAGTAGCCATGCAGCCCGACTAATAAAGGCAAGTAGAATCTTTGTGGCTGTGCAAAAAAAGGTAGTCGACCGTGAGAAATAAAGGAGTCCTTTGTCATCGTAGTCGAGCGCGCAACATTAAAAAAGCGGCTGCTTGATTGGCGTGCCAACAAAGGGCGCAATTTTCAGTTTAATTTATTTCTTTAAGTCATTCTGCATCAGTGAGGGTAAAAGGAGGAATGAGTTTGCGGAATGGCATGTGGCATGGCTCACGGAATGACATAATTATTCGGAATGTAATATATGCAAAAATACAATGAGCATGCGCTAGTTAAGCAATCCCACAAACAAGTCCTTGCACGGCCACTTTCGACCCAGGATATCACTCTTTTTTTAAGTCATCTGCTCGAACCTCTTAGTAACCGTTCCGTCGTCGTGTTTAATAAGAATATGACGATGTTTTCCACGTGACAACTTGCGTGTGTATTTTAAAACATAAAAAAAAATTCTTTTGAGGAAGGTCCGGAGGCTTAAAAGGAAAACATTTAACACTGAAATGTTTAATTTTAATTAAAAGTCCTGTCTAAAAGATTTAAAAGTTAGATTCAGTGAATTCACAGGAGCTAACCGTGTATCCACACTCGAAAGTAGACTCCTAATCATCGAGCAAGTGCAAGCAGCCAGAACTGAAATCAACTTTATACTTAAACTCCGGGACTAATTCAAGAATACTGCTACTAATCGATGTAAAATAGGATTTTTGATGCTTTCGTTTTAATCATAGTTAATTGAGTGGAATGGTTATGAAACCCGTCAGACTCCTTTGTTATATGTTTTTGTGGACCTGAAAGTGCACGACGTCAAAAGAATTCCTATCATTTTGATTGTATTGACCAATAAAAACGTTGCATTAATTTATTCCGTAACAATTTGCCAACAGAAAACAAAGGATTGTGCACTTTCACGGTGCTTTGAACATAAACTGCAGCACTGTTGTTTTTATCACTGATGTTTGCCGCTCTTCATAACCAGTCTCCTCTAATAACTATGTTTTAATATTAAAGTGCATTTTTGGTAAAAACAAACAAACAAACAAATAGGTAAAAAGAATAACACAAAATCGAAACGACCATTATTTAATTTCTCGCACTTGATCGCTGTCCCCAGTTTTATGGCAAATTATGTGGACATGATGGATGGCAATGAATTTTACCATTTTAATCATTCTTTCATGCACAGATCAAATTTTCTTTCAGTATCACCTCGATTTGTACCGGTTTTAAGTAAACCAGATGGTGAATGGCTCTACTCCCTTAACGATATTTGACGTCATCATGACATTACTGCTATCGGTTTAATGTGTTAGCCAGTTTCTTGTGCAGGCGTGGGTGGTAGAGCGGTAGAAACCTCGAACTTGCTTTCGGGAAAGAGCCGTTACTTCTCCTGAGGCCCGGGATCAAACCACTACTGGTACACCAAAAGCAAACTGAACTTGGGTTCCAACAGCATTTATTCTTGTACACTTAGCGTAACTTAGCTCACAAATGTAATCGGCAATGTAATCAGCTCTGAAATCCTCGATGTAATGAGCAATGTAATAAAAAAAACAGCTCAAAGCAACTTCCTTTTATATGATTTCAATAACCATTGAAAACAAAAGAGTACAATAGATATGTAAACAGAAATCAAATAGAAGTAAATAAAAATCAAATAAAAGAGATAGTTATAGCTTGTTATTGTTGCTATTTTTAAAAAGTAAAAGTACTACAACAAAAGCTAACTAAAGTTGCTAGGTCAGCAAAACCTTTAGTCCAAACTCAGCTGTTGCCACTATTTAAGCAACAGACTAATGAACGTTATATTCGCAAATACATATAGGTAAAATGCAATAAAAACGAGGTACATCTGTAAAAAGGTGCGAACGTGAACGGATGTCGTGCAGAATAAAAAGAAAGCTTAAATTAAAAGATAAACTAAAGTTAATAGCCATTATTCTGAAAACTAATGATTTTTCTAAAAGTCAAAAATTGAAGTTAAACGTGTCCAGTTAAAAAGAGTCAGTGGCAAATAATTTTGACAGCTGTAAACACTGTTGGCTTTTTCTAGAATTATTTCGTCAACGCACACTAAGTAATCAAACGTACGATAAAATGGCACGAGCCTTTTTGCGGAGCTAAAACCTCTTTATGCAAATTCAGTATGAATTACTAAGAACAACGTCAAAGCGAATAATTGGAAGCTATATATGAAATTCGAGGCAAATAAAGAATTCGTGGAAAATCTCTCCTTACAAATATAATATTAAATAAGGGCCGCCCTCAAATATGCTCCCCAACCCACCCCTCTCCCTTTCTGAATACACAGTACTAGTAGCGTAATCATATCTTCATTGACTTTAGGCAGAAACTCAACAAATAGCAGGCAGCAGAATGTCCAACAGGACATTCGACTTCACAGCAAGGTTTGGAGCAATGTGCTTCCAAAACTAAGAAGTACTTTTTGAAGAATAGCACAATTGGAAATCGCTCGGCTAATGTTTAAGAATTCGAACTGGTTGCTCGTTCTACCTAAGAGCAATTTCTTTTTGGTATTCAAGAACAATTTCACATGTAAAGGACTTTCTACTTAGGGACTTCTGCTCCAACGATTTTTCTGAAATTTCTCAGTTATATTTATTGTGAAAACTATCAGAAACTTTTTTACTAGGCGCGATTTTCTTCGAAAAGTGGGATCCTTTGAAGCGCTAATTTCGCAAAAAATATTTACCATCAATGAAATCGGAATATTTCATATTATTGCCAAATAATATCTGTAATTCTTTGCAAAGTTTCGCTGCCATCGCATTAAAAACGAGAAAGTTAAGACGAAAAGTTCGTCATACCTAAATGCGCCTGTATTAATGACGGAGCCACCTTCATAGAGGTCACAATTTTTTCTTTATCGATTTCTATCGATTGATATCGGAATTCGATATTTGTCGATGATTGATATCGACTACTGATCGATTATCGATTAACTGCGTCTGAAATTTTCATTTTCCGGAAAATCTCTTCGTGTACAAAACTGATAGGCACAGTTGAACTTCTGATTTCTATCGATTGATATCGGAATTCGAATATCGATGATTGATATCGATTACTATCGATTATTATCGATCATCAGTTCATCGATTAACTTCGTTTGGAGTATTTTCATTGTCCAGAAAATCTCTTTGTGTACAAAACTCAACCTCGTGCCCAGGGCGCTTTTCCCTGCCCCACCCTCAAAGCCTGGGAGAATCGCCCTGGGGACGAGGTTGTACAAAACTGATTGGCACAGTTGAACCTATAACTTTGACCTTTGACCGAAGCACTTAAATATACTTAAAGAGAAACTCTAGACTTTTATTCCAGTATTGTTTAGAAGACTTGGCGAACAAAGGCTTATCATTTCCTCCAATTAACCACATTTCATCGAATACTTTGATATATTTCCTTGAACAGGGTGGGATATAGCATGGTGTAATAAAATGGCTGGCACCAGGAAGACCAAGCTTTTGGCATAATGATTCCTTGCCATTTCGTTGCATGCGTCGAAAGATTTCCTCGCACATCCATTCTATATCAGGGACGAGTTGATCAGCATGGCCATAAACAAGTAGAACGGGGCAGCATATGTGCTCCACCGGAATTGTCCATGGCGATCCTATTTTGCAAATATCTTTACTTGCAAATATAGCCAAGAATTGGGAATAGCAAGAACCTTTTGAGGGCTCAAGATCAACAGGATAACCAGGTATAGTCATGGTATGACTTGCCAATGAACATCCAATTAGCATGGGGTATCCTGAAATAGAGACCACTGCTTTGACTTTGTGTCCTAGCTGAGCAGCAAGTGCTAGCGCTAATGTGCCTCCATTAGACAGGCCAACCAGGCCAACTCCACCAGACTTCACCTTCGGTTGTGAGGTAAGCCAGTCAATTGCGCTCTCAAAATAGGATACATGAAGCAAGCCATACCTTTCAGGAAGGTCTTTGAATGCACAGTACGCTAACGCCAAGACTGCAAAACCATTTGCTGCTAACAGCGCTGCTCGGTCCTCTCTTAAGCCACCTGTGAACCCCCATATATCGATAACAGCTACGAAGAAAGATAGCATTAGATTATACTGCTTATTAATTGAGCGTGAGGTAACTATAGGGAAATATCTGTGCGAGGCCTTGATGTGCATTGACCGAGGGATGGCGAGGTCAATACATCAAGGCCGATTTCTAAGATTTCCCTGAAATGACCGAACGGAAGAGGTTATAAGTTATTTATTATACAGAGGAACCTGGATATAACGAACTTCCAGCGAAGTTAGAAGTTAGGTTAGGTATGTTAGGTGAGTTAGGATAGGTATGTTAAGTATGTTAGGTATATTAGGTAAGTTAGGTTAGGTCAACGAACGACTTTGTTTACAGTATGTTGCCCAGTATCCGGACGGTACCAGTATCCGGACACTTGAAACAAAATCTTAATTTTTGAGGCGCCCTTTTCAGTTCTCGGTAAACGACGTATTTCGAATGAAAGCTGAACATTTCAGCTTTAAGATGAACGTTTTGGCGATTTGAAAGCTTGCGAGACAGTCGCAGAAGACGCCGTTCTGTTCAGGTGAGTATACTTTTCATGGCTAATATTTACGCTGTTTACTGCGCAGTAAAATTAGTGCTGCTCAGAAAAGGGAGGGTAATGCGCGATATTTTCAAAGAAGCTGATTTACTTTCAAAGTGAAGATACTTAAGGAAGTCAGGTTTTCAGAAAGTTTATTAATTCTTCTTAAATTCGATTTTTTTGGAATAACGGAGGCCAGAAACATTCACTAAGTATTGATGTTAGGTGCCCAGTATCCGGACAGTTTTTTCTTTGCTGTACAGAATCGATGATTTAGCTGTGTACATTATCCGGATAAGATTTATTTCATATCAGTAACTATAATTAAAGCTTAGGATATATGATATAGTCGTGAGATGTAATTCTACTCAACTCCGTATGGAAATTTTCTTCACTCATTCAGAGGCGACTTGATTTCGTGCTCACGGCTCGTTTCGCGTGACTGCATTTTCTATATATAACCGAAAGCATCTGAGTTGAACCAGGAATTCTCATACTTTCCCCAGTTGTGACTACTAGAATGGGGTTGCAACGGTCTGAAAAATGTCCCAAAGGGATTGAGAGATGTGAAAGAAGGAGGAATTACAGGCCCGTAACCAGGATTTTATATGGGGGGGGGGTGCTAACGAGGCCAAAGTGGACCAAACTACCGAAATGTATTTTATATTGTCTGATCCGTTTATTTAGGAAAGTAGCAATACATGAAAAATTGTAACGGCAAAGTACACAGTAGGAACTGAATATTACATTTATCGAATACAACTGTTTGAATTAAGTTATAAAGGAGAAATTTATACGATGTAAAATGGTACATCAAAATACTGTGGAACTAATCCCTCAGAATAGTCCCGAGCTCCAGCCTCCGTGTGGGTGTTTGGTGGCAAACAGATTTACCACCTCATCCAAAACAATTTTAACTTGATAATGTATGTGCATTAGTGCGGGGGACGACAGCCTTTCCTGGCCCATGCATGCCCTGTTATATGTATGCAGCCAGTTTGAAACTGCACTCCATAACTTGGATATTTAGTATCAAAATGCGGACCTTTGGGGCCTGTAGGGGGTGCGAACGCACCACGTGCACCCCCCCTGCTTATGGGCCTGAATTAGCGCCAGAAAAGCAGGCTTATTGTGGGGACTGAGCATGAAGAAATCAACACTGCAGGTCAGACTAAATAGGTGAGTGACCTTTGACCGTCCGATTGAGGTCCCTTCCCCAAGCTTTTTTTAAAATAAGAAATGAGAAAAGTCGTTTGCAGATTGGCTAATTGAGCTTACAAACTGCGGCTTCGGCATGTCCACGGATGCCTTCCCTAAATCAGTGAAAAAGTTCCTAGACAAGGAAGTAAGAATTATACGACTTTTAAAACAGCCGCACGCGTTCCCCACCATACTCCAGTCATTTGTTATGTTTTATTTCACGATGCTAGGTTATATTTTTGGAATCGATTGCCAGACTACTTTACAAGTGCAAGAGAAGCTTATAAGTCGCTTGCCCGTCGAAATTTATGTACAATTTCGTTGTTATTGTTGTGTCCGGATACTGGGCAACATAGGAGCTCTGCAAAAATATTAATTTCGCGATGGAAACAAAGGCAAAAAAGTTAAACTGTCTTTCGTCATATTAAGGACTAAATAGATTTTCTCTGGGCCAAATTTCAGAGCTCTTGCGATTAAGAAAGGAAAGTTATTGCAATCTTAAACTGAAGTGTCCGGATACTGGGCAACATACTGTACCCCAGTAATAGGAAAATATATGAAAAAGTCCCTCGATATAACGAAACCTCGTTACAGCGAACACATTTTGCCAGTCCCTTGGCACTTCATTATATCGAGGTTCCACTGTATGGACTTTTCAATATGGACCTGAGCTTGCGATCAGTTAAAACCAACAACTGGTCAGCGGACGACTTTAAAAAACATGTCACCTAAATGAGTTGTACACTCGAGCCTGCGATACAGTCAGGTGACACTGGTCAGCGGATACCATTTTTGCCAGCTGTCAATTAACCATAACATGGATGTCCAAGACGATGTCCACTATCAAGTTAAACACAGATGGTATATGCCCTGGACACCTAGCTAGTAATGCCTGGTCATTACAAGAAAACAGCCAATCAGAGCGCGCGTACTATTGTTGCCATATAATAAATACACTTAATGACTCCTCCCTCGGGAAACAGTTATCTTTGTTTCCCGATACTCTCAAAAACATGAAGATTCGAAATTTTGGAAGCTGGAAATTCATTAAACCTCACTGTAACGGGGGTCGTAGGTCAACATTCGCGGGTAACAGTGCACTGTTACCCTCTGACTGTTGCCAGCTCATAGATTTTGGCGGGAATCAGTTTCATTGTTAGATGCCATGTGACCTCGAAGTATGAGAGCGCGCACTGTTAGCAAAAAGTTTCCAGCCATATAACAATATATCTTATTACTTAGGGGCGTTCCACGCCAAGTAAATTCCTTCGACAGTTGCCGGCAAGTGTCAACAGCGCCATAGATGAAACTGAACATCTAGTCCGTATGCGAACCAACGCCGAAATCCCGGTTTCCGGGCCTCGCCTGTATACCAGGATGTGAGTACGCGCCATGGTTAGCCTGATAAATAAGCCATTGTTCATTTGGCAAATTAGGTTGAAGGGAAATTCGAAACACACCTCTAGTAATTCATTAAGTCCGTTGGCGGCCTAGAATAAAGATCACGGCGCTGCGACACTTGCTACAACTGTAGCAGACAGTGACTGGCGCTTTAGGGAATAAAAAGACCGCAGGGAGTGGACAAAAAATGCCCCTTAAAAACTCCTAAAGCGATATCAAATGGCAATGCTCTCAGATACCTCGACTTCGAATGCCTTCATAAGCCACAGCCAAAATTTGGATGCCTTCTTCGTTGTCATACATGTACGATGGACTTGATCGCAATAAAGCGCAGAAGAGGACTCGAATATCAGTGACGGAACGAAGACTGCGTTTTGCTACAAGGCCTGGCCTTAAGCCTCGTTTTCAAAGCCAATTCTCGTTATATTAAAATTATTTTCATTCACATGCGAATTAAATTCATTTTCATGAAAATGCTTGTGCACCAGGTCTGATTTGATAAGGAGACAGGGTTACTCAGAACATTGTTACAACCTCGTCCCCAGGGCTTTTCCCTTAAAAACTAGGTGGGGCGGGAAAAGGCACCCATTTTTTAAGGGAAAAGCCCTGGGGACGAGGTTGAACATTGTTATTGTCAAAGTAACTAGCCGCTGGACATCTGCTTGTACTGTCCGTTACGTAGCAGCGATAATTGTAACGCAACAGCATGACCTCTTTGTATTGTCACGTTCATATACGGTATACAGGGGAGTCGGTGCTTCTCCTTTGAAAAGTTACTTCCGAAGGGTTTATGTAAGAAAAGTCTTAAGGGTCCAAATTTGTCTGCTTTCAGAATATTCATTATCGTCTATTTATTCGTAGTGGAAAGGTGCACTAATATCTGGGAAGAGTCCATCTCCCGAGGGAACGAAGAAAGTGCCATAAAATCCACCATTCTCTACAACATGTCGGGTCACTCTATCGCTCATGTAACTTCGTAGTAGTGTCACGCTCGCCAGTTTGTTATTTTCTTCAAGCGACCCAGAATTGTTCCCACCAGTACGTATACCGCTGCAGACATCTAAGGAAACTTTCAGGGGTTTTGAAACATCTCGTTTTCTCAGCATATCGTCTCGGTCGGTTCCTTCCACGGGTTCCATGCTCCAAAATAACCTCATGGGTTCTACACCGGTATATGATCCTCCAAGCGAGGGTTGAGAAACCAACGATACTTCTCCGTTCTCGTCAGCTTTGTAGAAAGCGAATGATTCAAACGCTGTCTCGCTGTCATCGATGGCTCGAGCTCGCAAGGTAATATCTTGATGTGAAGAAAGGTTACTCACAAATATATCAACTTTTTGATCAATAATCGTTTTCAGAGAAGGATTCACGGTTATTTTTGCCATTTTACCATCAACCGTAGACTTCATCACAGCACGCCAGTGAAACAACCTCGCGTGTAATACCATTCGAGAATTTAGGCTGAAATGTCATAAGTCTCCACCCCATAAGGGGGTTAGGGTGGAAACGTGTGACATTTTAGACTATCGATAACACGAGTGAAATTTCCGGTAGGTCTAATCCCCCACCCTTTACCCTTCACCCCTCAGCCCTCACCCTCTACTCTCCTCTATCCTCTAAAGGATCGTGAGGTTTCTTTAGCATGAACTTAGCCCGCGTAGCGAGTTGTAGCCTGTACACAGACGTTGTTTAATTTTTCTTTTAGTTTTTTTCAATAATCGCGCGTCTATTTTCTTCTTTCCCCATCCCTACCCCCTTGCACTGGCTGTCAATGAATCCCCCGCTGTTTTTATTTTTTATATAGGGGGTCTGTAAACAGGCTAAACAAGTTATTGCGCAAAAGTTGGAGCGGGAGAGAAAAAAAAAAGGGAAGGGGAAGGGGAAGGGAAAAAAGGAAACACTTGCCGGCAAACCCCACGAATCCGAAAAACGCCCCTTGACACAGACGTATTTCCGGTCGTCGCTTCTCTCCAGCCGCTTATTGGCTACTATTTTACGGTTCGGTTCATATGTAAATTGACAGCTCATCAACATGTCAGCCAGTATAACGTGTATAACTAGGAGTCGGAGCTTAGGAGGGTGCGTGCGATATGTTTGTTAGGCGTACAGGTAGCAGTTGAGGGATAAAAGTGGATGGTTTTCGCGATAGATAAATATGATCATGGCATATTTTGAACGTAAGGATTACGTACAGCGAAACCTCTATTTAAACCGTGTGTTTTTATGAGAGGGTTTTGAAGGCTTGTGATATCGCATGGTTCGTCTTAAGTACTTGTAATTTGAGGAGACAGTAATCTGACCAGAGTGCGGGCGTGTAAACGTATAGAACGTGCAGCGAATGTTCTACAGGGCGTAGTTGTTCGAAGGCCAGATTAGCACTTAACCCGGGTTTCTTTTTCTTTTGTTAGTGGACTAAAATTAAAGGAACCCGTTACTGGCAAGTCTCCTTAACTTGTGTTGATATTAAAGACCCATGACCACATTTTTTGTGGTGAGCGCTGGAGCACAATGAATTGTGTTTGGACACTGGTTCACTTACACGTTTCAAGGGAATCATCAAAGTCTTAAGTGGGATGTGTGTATGCTTACGTCAATAACCTTTCAGTAATTTGGTCGAGTGTGTTGATTTCAGTGACTTGCGTGTAGCGCTACTGTGGGCTGGTTTATAAGTTTTTCCGAGTAAATAACATAGCCGGCTAAGATGTTCGTTTGTCCGGTGCCGAAAATATCACAAGTCATGATGAAATGGCGCCGCCGAGCTTCACATCGCGGTAGATTTACTTTGTGGCGCAACAGCCGTCGAGCCAAACAACCCGGTTTCATTGATGTATGTGTCAGCAATCGCACACATTTTCAAAAGACAACTTTGGAAGATTCAATAAACACAGATCGATAGTAGACCTTCAGGAAACTCTTGAAATATGCACGCTTTACAAAGACAAATAGTAGCAGATCTCAGAAAACGTTTGAAAAATGAACGCCCAGGACAAGGGAATCACCACTTGAGTTAGCGCGTCAAAGTGAGGCAAATGTGTGTCGACACAAATGCAATCCTTTAGTAATTGCACAGCAAACCAATAATGCACAGAACACCCAACACAAATTACGGGTTGTGTTCTCGTACCTCGAACGCAATAAACAAAACCAAGAGCCATGGCTCTTGACAGAACAGATTAACAGATTTGTGGCCCTTGACAGAACAGATTAACAGGTTTGTAAAATTTACTTCGTTCTCTTTAAAACACTCCACGCGATTGCAGAAAACTATAATATTAAAGTTGTTTTACGATACAGCGAGCAGCGAGGAGAAACGGCTGTTTTCGTCCCGGGGGGTACTTAAGGAATTTCTGGATGGGATGTGCCGCTGGGACCCTGGAACCCTTAACCTATACCAGAGCTAGTTCAGCTGATTAGAGTAAACTCCCCAAATCCCCCCTATCCTGGAGTAGCTGTTTTCCAGAAACTACTGAGGTCACTAGCACAGTCTAGCCAAAACAAAACTTTTACCATAATCCCTTGTCTAGATAAAATCTTAAACCAACTGCGGAATTTTGTGTTGTTTCCTTCTCTGTCCTCCCACCCGCCCCCCTCCCCTTCCCTCCCCTTTCATTCCTCTTTTTTGCCCTCCTTCCAACTTTCTCGACAAAGTCGCTCCGAAACGCTTGCTACGCAGGCTAGCATGAACCTTTTACTGTTACACTTTTTACGTTTTCCTGTAAAACTGTCTGCTTTAGTCTTTATATCGATAAAACATGTGTGTTCGTGACGTTTTTTCTGAAAGCCCGCTTAATTAGTAGTACGGACACCTGGATAATATGCTATGACACTATATCATGTCTGTATTCCGTGCTCCACGGTAACAATGTAAACACGTACTGTTTTTCTTTACCAAAAGCATCATAGATCAGGATCGCAAATTATTTATCAGTCGATACGTTTTATAGATCGTTTTCACTGACACGCAACAAAAAAATAAATTGGAAACCGTACAGTGGAAGAAGCCAAGCTGAGATGAAATGTTAGAGACTAGTATGTCCAAGTCTCAGGTCTTTGTGGCCCAGTTTCTGAGCTATTTGCCGAAACGTTTCACGCACCTTTGAACAGCTTTGTATGGCCGGACGCCATATTGGTGTGCAGTTTTGCTGGACCAATATGGCCACCGGAAATCAACAAAAACATCTGGAGTTCACTTTTCCTATAACAGCTCTTTCTTTTCACTCGAGAACTCGCACATGTGCGCATAAACATATCTTCTAATAATTGAAATGATTAAACTGCTGAAAATCAAGAGGAGAGACTTTTTTTCAACGAGACAGCATTCCTATTTTGGTGTCACGCACTGTGAAAACTCGGAAATTCAAATTGCTGTATTTTCGAAATGAAACATGCTGTGGGATTGGAAAATTGTACAAAGATTTTTTTTGGTTATCTTCAACCTAGTGTACATAGCAATTCGTAAAACCTCGCTATTTTGACTTTACAATTTGATGACCTCACTGTGAAAACCATCTACAGCGAAACCTGTGTTAACCGGACACCGTATTAAGCGGACACCTTCTATTAAGCGGACAGTAGCCGAAGTCCCCAAATTTTATTCCCTTATTTACTTAAAATGAAACCTTTATTAAGCAGACACCTCTATTAAGCGGACGCGGACACCTACAAAGTACCTGAAATGGTCATTTCTATTGTTGCCACTGTATCAAACGGACATTTGTAATTAAATTCCACCACCCAACATGCCAGACACTGGAAAAGCGAAAGATGGCCACTCACAAATTTTTCGATTTTACATTTTAGACTTGACTAACTTATTTGATTAGTTTCACAGTACACTATTGTTTTGTATTTCGTTTTGTTTGTATAGAGCTTGTTTTACTCATCTGATTTCTTCAAATTTGAGTTGCAATCTATGTTTTTGGTACTATGATCAACTGGTCCACTTTCATAAAGAAATTAATGCAAACGTATATCGTCATAGTCTAGTATTCTAAACGTTTCCACTGTTCATGCATTTGAATGGCATTTGACACCTCATATGACGTTATCTATCAAAACCTGTATAAGACGGACACCCTGTATTAAGCGAACACTACAGCATTCCTCGAGGGTGTCCGCTTAATCACTTATGTCCAGAATCGATCTTGTTAGCAAAAATTTGCAAGCAAATTGTTTTCGAAATTTTAGCAAAAAAGATTTAAAGAAAACTGCTATCAGAAAAGTATAGAAGAAACAGCAAATGTCGCAAAAATCGCAAAAGTAAGAAGAATTTTTGTTGGTATGTGAAAAGATTGAGTAACAAATATGGCAAAAATAGCAGGAATAGAATTTTTAAAAATTCTACATTTACAAAGAGAAAAGGCCAAGAAGGGCTTTGTGAAGTCCCCAAATGTCGCAAAAATCGAAAAAGTAACGGAAATTTTCCTTGCTAAGTGAAAAGATTGAGTAACAAATGTAGCAGAAATAGCAAGAATAACAAATTTAACAAAAATACTGCACTTAGAAAGAGAAAAGGTCAAGAAAATTTTGAAAAAATCACAAAAGTACCAAGATTTCACTATATCAAAAATATTTTTGACACAGTCCGTCAATGACATGCAATGGCGTTTCAAGTTTCGAAGGTTAACCCATTCGCACCTAGGAATTTTGCGGAAAAGCGCGCCCTTGGCCCGGGGAAACGCGTTTAATTTTGAAGCTACAGTAGTTCGAGCCACAAATTCGTTTACAGGTCATACACTTCGCGGCCTTCTGATCTAGATGCATAGTCGCTTCCGAGGTTTGGACATGAGAGAAAGCAAAATTTCGCTTTTCTTGTCACATTTTTTATTTTTGCTGGGAATTTACACCCTTTTTTTTAAAATAATGTTGTTTTTTCCGACCCAGGCTGAATATTCTTATTTTTCTGTCGATTTTAGGCTGAAAATATTCTTGTATTATTCTTAAATTATAGCTTACGACATTTCCGTTTTAGAATGTATTGGGGTATCAGTTATAGTTAGTGCAGGTTTTTTGGTCTTGTTGGCAAGTTTTGCCGCTTACAGAATGGAATAAGTTGAAAACATACAATTGTATTGTATTTACAGTTTTTAAACACAAAAATTAAAATTATATCCTTTTCAAAACCTCAGCCAGGGGTTTATTCTTAAAATTTTCCCAAATTTCAGGCTCGATATTCTTATAAAATATATTCTTGTAGAAAAAAGAGTGTACTAAGCTTTATTTTGGAGGGAAAAGTTTCTGGGGAGCTCTTTAATAGAATCATAGAGATAAGAGGGTAGCCGAAAAAGATCATGTTTCATGGGGAATTTTGGGTCAACGTTACATGTTTTTTGGCTATTTCTCCGGCCTCCTTGACTGAATCGTACTCATTCTGGTATGGTTTGAA